TTCTGATGTTCTCAGGCTCTTGTTTACCCACACAACACTTTTTTTTTTTTTTCCAAGAAAAGCAAATTCACTGTCAAACTCAGTGTTCAATAATTCTGTGCCAGATTTCCATACAATAATTACTGATTCTGGAGGGCTTTTTTTTCCCCCAGTCTGGGAGTTCCTAGACTCCATCCTTTCCTCTCCTCACAAAAAGGTTGCAACTTAATGTATTTTCAAAGGAAAGCTGACTCCAGAGCTAGGAGAAGAATATTGGGAATCACAGATATAAATTAAAATCACAAAGGCTGGCAGTATAGGGGGAAACCTGCTACAGCACACGTGGGAGGCAACTTTCCACACAAAGGTGAAATTCCCTAAAGATTTTACTAAAGAATTTGTCTACAAGTTGAAATACGGTGGGACAGAGGTGTCAGTCATTGTTTTTATGACCATACAACACGGCACGCTCCAAGAGACAGTGCATTTTATTTCACCCCCCCTGCTCCTGGCTGTCTGTTTGCTGCCCACATTTCCAAAGAGAAAATTGCTCCTAAGTGCTTCCCCATTGATCCGAGACAAGATGGTTATTTTGGATTCTGCAGTAGTGGGTGAATCATCAATACAATGTTTCTGAATTTACACTCGTATGTTCCAGATCCATTTCCTGATGCAGAAACTGAGGGATTGCTGCTGCTTTTATTTCTGAAAACTCGGGGCTAAATACCCAGTTCCTGGGGAGAGGGAAGTGCTGAGTTTTTCCTCCATTCAAGCAAACTTCCTTCCCTCTGCAAATTTATTCCTCAATAAGTTTTGCTTGAAATCAGGTTATTTCCACCTGGAAAGTTGATTTCTGTAAAATTTTTTCAGGATTGCAATTTCAATATTGACCCAAGAGAGGAGGTTTGATTTGGAAGCAAAACATGAGTGGCATGAGTGCAAACTGACTCCGAATGTGGAGTTGTGAGATCAGTCAGTCCCAAGGTCCAAAGCCAAAGATAAGCAGGCATTTTTGATGTGTTATAGAATAGTTTCAGATTCAGTTTAAAACTGAGCTGGCCTTCTAAAATGTGAAGTCGCAGAGGTTTGCACTTAGCTGCTGAAGGCCACTGGCTGTGACCCTTCAGTCACTGGATTTGCATCTGTGGGACAGAACAATCCTGGACATCATACTTAAAAAATACACCAATACAGATCATGGCAAAAAGGAGGTTGCACAGCCCCACTCCATCTCCTATAGGAAATTATTTCCTGTGACTAGTGTGTGTGTGTGTGTACTTCTGTGTGTATGTGCTTTCATTTTGCCCTGAGATTCATCCACTGGTTGGAATAACAATCCCTGCAATGGGGCTTTTCATCTCCCAGAGCCCATCTCTATGACTCAGGGAACAGAGGACCCCCACACCTGGCCCATCTACCAGAGCAGGTCTGAAGCTGTTAAACCTCACCTGATCCAACTGTGCTTTTATGCCAGGGTCTCAGAATACATCTCAGAACACTTAACAAGGAGCTACACAGCTCTACTCCTTGCAGCTCCCCTTTCCTTGGGCTCATCTGTTGTGACTGTGAGCACAAAAGCTAGTGCTTTCCAGATGATAGAATACTGTGAAGTTAAGAGGTAGATATGGATTTTAATTATCTTTTTTTTCCCCTCCTGCTGATGCTCCAGTCCTAGAAGCTGCAATGACATGGAAGTCTAGGGTGTCATTATGGGTTATTAAATTTTGAGACACTCAGAAGTGTTGAAAGGATATGAGGAAAAAAAAGACATCTCTTGACGGAGCTGGCTAACCACTGCTGTAATTGCTTCATATAGCAGACTGTAATTATTCAGGCTATGGAAGGAAAGAGGGAGAGGGTGTGAATAGGTGGGAGAAAGAGCACCAAGAGGACTTGGTCACTCCACATAACCACCAGGGTTTTCTCCTCAATTGCTATGGGAGATAGCAGCTGGCCCTCACAATGGTGGACACAGTCCCTTTCTTTGGCCCTTGGTGGGACACTTCTGCAGCTCAAAGCCTGTCCCTGCAGCTTCCTGAACCACTAGAGAGCCCCCCACCATCACTGGGCTGGCATCACATCTGTCTGATTCCCCCTGGAATTTATATCAAGGCCACAGACTGTTGCATGGAGATCCCTCCAACTCTCACAATGAGGGATGGCAGTCTGGCAGATGGAGGTTTTCCTCTTGGTCCACGCATCCAAAGTACAACGACCAACAGTGTTTGCTGTTCCTGCTTTATGTCAGATAAATCCCCTAAAACACGCAGCTGGTTACACATAGCACTCGCAGACATTCACAGGCAGTCATGTGATGGGAGCCTGAGAAACAAAGCACTAATGAAGACCAATCCATCCATCGTATTTACTTCATAAAGCTTCCTAAATGCTCCTCTTTCATTAGAAAATTTGGTATTTAAACAACATACAAAAGCCTTGGTGTGGGAGCAGAGCCATCATTTAACCAAGTAGGCTCACACTCCTAAAAGCCATAGAATCATAAAAGTTGAAAAGGCCACTGTTACCATTTAGTCCAACCGCAACCCACCAGCATGCCCTCTGATGATGTCTCAGTGCCACAACTCCATGTTTCTTGAACACTTCCAGACTCCATCACCACTCTGGGCAGCCTGTTTCAATGCCTCACCACTCTTTCTGAGGAACAAAAAATTCCTAACACCCAATCTGAACCTTCTTCTGGCACAACTTGAGGCCATTCCCTCCAATCCTATTGCTAGTTGTGTGGGAGAAAAGATCAATCCACACTTCACCACATCTTTCACTCTCTTTGCTGAGAGTGATAAGGTCTCTACCTGGCCTCCTCTTCTCCAGACTGAACAATCACAGCTCCCTCACCCACTCCCCATAAGACTTGCGCTCCAAATCCTTCACAGTTTTGTTGCCCTTCTTTAGAAATACCTGAGGGCCTCAATGTCTTTTTGTAGTGAGGGAAGTCGTGCCTGATATCAGCAGAACTTGCACATAATCCTAAGCAGGAGGTTTACAGAGATGCAGATGTTTTGGCCTTGGTTGCATAGGAAGCAGGACTATACTTTGGCTCTGCAGAGGCTCTGTGCTTGACAGCATTTCTGTACAGTGTGGGACTCTCATCACCAGACAGACAGGGGGTGACAGATTAACAGGGCTTAAAGAAAGCAGGAGTTGTATGCCTAATCTATCAACCCTATAAAAGAGAGGAATTAAAAATCAAGGGCTTTGTGAAGAACTAAGAAGGAGAGCTGATGAGCTTAAGTAGAGTGCAGGATTTTGCAAGGAGAGAAACAATATGTAATGAAAAAAAGTAAATCAGAATATGTAGTTGAAGTAATCCCACATATTTGTACAATAATCTCAAAAAACTTGCCTGATGTTATCGGCTCCTTTTAAAGCTCGTTTGTCAGAAGAGCCCTCACATGTGATCTCTGAATATGTTACAGCCTGCAGGAAAGCTGGTTGACTTGTTCTGTTCCCATTTTATTTAAGTACTTTATCCATTTTCTCTATTCTTCACGTGAACTGACATTTTAAGGCTATCCTTTCAGTAACTTGATTACAAATTTGAATAAGCGGAATTTGCTTTGATGGCTGATTTTAGGTTCATCATCCCTGGCAAAGACCTTTAAACTAAACTAATTACCACAAATAAAAGATCTATCAAAATGGTTGTGCTTTTTGATTTTAAGAAAACAGAACGAAGAAAACTTTTCTTTGTCCTGAGATTGGACTGAAAACCTCAGACCAGAAGTGCTGAAGTCTGGTATTCTACTTGCTGCTTTAAAAGATAACTCAGAAGAGTACATTCAGAATGAAAAGTTCATTTGGTATTCAAATATGATCATTATAACTCTCCTCCTTCCCAAGCCTACGTTTCTTTCCTATACAAAATCCCAGGGAAGTTCTCCCAGTCTTGGAAAGCATTAGCTTGGTGCTGGAGAGTTGCTGCCAGTGAAAGAATCATAGAATCAGTAAGGTTGAAAGGATCGCTAAGGTCACTGAGTCCAATCATCAGCTCATGTCTGTAATCACTTTAAACCATGTCGCTCAGTCCCACCACTCCATGATTCTTGAACACTTCTAGGGATGGTGACTTCACCACCAGTCTGGGCAGCCTGTGCCAGTGCATCACTACTCCTTCTGAGAGGAGATTTTTCCTAATATTCAGCCTGAACCCCCTCTTCCCCCCAGTGCAACTTGAGGCCACCACCTCTTGAATCCCACAGGAGGAGAAAAACCAATCCTGAATGCAGCAGGACATCTCTGGGTTGGGTCCTGCTGTGCTACATGCTGCCACAGACCAAATTTCCTTGGGCATTTGGCCTCTGAGGCATTGCAGCAAGAATAGCAAAGCCCTTGGGTAGCAGGATGTAGAGGTGGGGGTTTTCCCCCACGTTATTTTCTCCACAGCCTTTTTCTCCTCTGAGGATGTAAGGAGCCTAATCCTGCTGGCCTGCAGTCAGCATGCCATAGCCAATCCAACTCTGGTGGTGGATGCACAAGAACAGCAACCAGTCCTGTAGCTGAGCTGGGGGAATTGGTTCTACTTTCCTCCTCCTTTACTGCCTCAGTGACATGGCAAACAAGGGGGAAATAAAAGGCTGAATCTTTCCCTGCTGTTTATTTTGTCCTTAAACAGATCAAAATCCTTTCATGCAACACCCAAGCTGGGAAAGTGAATCTACCAGATTGAAAAAGAGTGAGAGAATTATAACAAGAAAAAAAGAGAGGGGTGAAAAACAGGGAAGAAATCTTTTGGGCACAGGCAAACAAGTGGGGGGAGCAGCAGGTCTGCGAAGGCAGGGTGTCTGCAATCTTTGTGGCGATTAGATTTAATGGGACAGAAACGCTTCTCTCCTTCACGTCCCCTCCTCCTCTCAGCCTGAGGGGGGAAAGGAGGGAGGTGGTGATGGGGGGGTTGCGGCAGGAGGGGAGAAGCTTTGAAAGAATCTTTGACGTCAGCCTCACCCTATAAAAAGCTGGCAAGGAGCTGAAAAGCGGAGAGCAGAGCTCGTGGAAGAGTGAAGATGCCAACCCCCAACATCTCCACCTCTGCAGCCAAAGGCTTCCGCAGGGCGGTGTCGGAGCTGGACTCCAAGCAAGCCGAGGCCATCATGGTAAGACAACTCTACTCCACTTCTTCCTTCTCCCCTGAAAAATGCAGCCTCTCCTCCAGCAATAGGCAGTGGTAGACAGGCATAGAGGGGCCAACACTATCTCTAGGGGTGTTCCCCAGCCCTGGCTCTAGGCCAGGAGATGTAAATGACCCCCACACTCATCTCTACATACTGATGTGTGAAATGCAAAGAATTAGGGGGACAAAAGCTAAAACAAATGCACCCTCACCCCCCCTGCAGCCAAAAGCAACTAAAATAACCCATCGAGCTAGGGCAGGAGTAACAAGGCATCCCCAGCATCTAATACAATTTGAAAAACGTAATGCTATACTTCATTGCTAGATGTTAAGCTGCAGAGATTTCATCTGTTATAGCATAATGGAAAAGTGTGAATTTCATTTCAGACAACATGCAAGGTGCAGGCAATTCACTCAGTTTGCTGTTGTTCTCTCAGCACATCCTTCCCACATTTCTGCTCCCATCCCCTCATCATTATTTAGGGGCCCTGTTTTTACCTTAAGGAATACTTCTGCACACACTGAAGCTGCAGATATCAGGGAAAGGAGAGAAAACTTCCCGCTGGGCTGTCAAGTGCCTTTAGAAAGCAAATTCTAGTAAATCCTTTGGGTAGGCTGTAGGGATGGAGCACTAACCCAAATGGCAAGGCAGCCAGGAAAAGGCTAGAGACCATGGGCATGAGACAGCTCTGTGGGTCAGGGAGGCGACCAGGCTCTGGATGACCCCTGATGGCATGGGGAGGGGACACTCCTGGGATACTTAGCAGGAGGAAACATGGTGGAGGCACGAAAGGTGTTTTGGAGCATGCAGCATGCCAGAAAGCAAGTGAAACAATTAACAAACAAAGAGGTAAACTCACTTTCAGTAGTAAATGAAAGTCAGGGAAGTCTTTCCTCCTGCACAGGCATTTCCACCCTGGCAAAATAACGAACACTTAAGTGGCTCTTCAAAAACAGGGATTTTCAGATTGCTTTGTCAGATCAGTACTTGAGATGCTGGCTTGTCTGGCAAAGGGGTGAGAGTTTGGTGATTGGGCAGGTGGGGATGCTGTGCTGTGTTTGATGGGAAGCGTGGCCTTGGGTGCAAGGGCTGCAGGAATCTGGGTCCTTTGGACATGCTGGCACCAGTGTGACAGCCTGGAAGAGCAGATATAAAACTTCAGATCATCTCTGCATCCCTTCTTAGAATAGTAATCCACAGAAAACAAAAAATAAAAAATAGCTCTCCTACCTCGTGTGGGAGACCTCCGCAATCCCTTGGCTTATTTTGCTGGCTTGCACTAAGCGAGAGGCATGACTCTGCATTTGTGTGTGGCAGCACTCAACCCCAGCCCTCACGCTGTTCTAAGGCCATTGGCCACCCAGTCCCTACCAGCACCACACCAGCAGGTCAGAGGTGAGCCCTCTGAGCTTTGCAATCCCAAGACTCACCCACACCAGAAGGTGTTTCACACACCAGCTGTGACAGCCAGAGATAAACCCTGTGGAAAATCCTTCAGGTTGTATAGATTTTCTGCTCATAGTTTTTCTTTGCAAGATATCTTGTATCTGTAACAGGGATTTGGTTACAGAGCGTTTAATCAGGAGATGGCAGCTGGAAGCATAACAGCAGGAAAAATTGCCCGGGATTGTTACAAATAATGAGCCTAAATGCTTTAATTCAAAGCATCACGTTTTTAACAGCTAGGCACACAGAACTGGAGCAATTTCAAAGAAAGAAAAATTAATCCTTTGTGCAAGGTGAATGACCAAGTCAGACTCAGATCCCAGGGAGGTAAAGAAGTGTTCTGCAAAATTAAATTTCTCACTTTAGCTGGACAGGCACTGAGGGAGTTCGTCCACAGGGAAAGTCAGAAATCCCGTGTAAGAGCGTCTTCCAAAGAATAGAAGTCGTTTATCACAAGAGATCATTTTGCCTAGTTTATATAAAAAACGGTGCCTAATTTCCAGAAAAAGGAGGCAACATCCTGAGGAGCATAAATGTGAGAAACAGAAGAGATGATGCTGAGAGGAAAAGCATCCATGCAGCAAGCAGGCAGACCCCTCCCGACGTTCTCTTAAACAAAAAACTGCCTTGCCCTTTTTTTATAAACTTCCCCATTCCAAGTGTGAATCTAAGCATCTCCCAGAACCCCTAGACATGGACCAAACCCCCTGCTTCTGCCTGTTGGCAGCACGGTTATACCATCATAACTCCTCCCAGCAGAAATTTAACTTGATTTATGGGAGTCTGGCTTCCCTCCTTCCATCCTCTCCATTCCAGAAGAAAATCCCTATTGCACTTTTGCACCTCTGGGCATAATGCAATAAAACTTCTTTAGCTGAAACACTTTGTACTGCTGAAAAGCACGGCCCCTGTGTCTGACCCAAATCTGTTTGCCCTGCTTATTGCAGGCACCTGAAAGCAAACACCAGCTTAGCTTTAAACACTGTAGCAATATAAAATACACGCTTAAAGCCAAGCATGCTCTCACAAGTTCTTAAAAGTTAAGACCAGGGTATTTATTAGAGGTCTGTTCTCTTTGGGTGCAAATACCACCAAATTAGACAAATGGCAATGCGCGCTTATTTGCTAGATGGTATTTTTTGGTGCCTCTAGGAATAAAGTAGCTGAGGATCAGCAAATATCACTTCAGAGGGGTTTCTTTATTAAAAAAAGAGGACAAGGAAGAAGCGCGTGGGCTGATATCTAGAGATATGGTGTTTTTCAGGCTGCATTTCAAATGTCAGAGGGAAGCCGTGAAGCTCTGTGCCGCTGAAGCATCCAAGAGGGTTCTCAGAGGAAACGTCACAGTGGGCTTCAAAAATAATGGAGAAAATAGGCTTAGTAGTTGAGCAGGCTGTTTCTCATAGGGAAATATTCTGCAGAGTTTCAAAGGGGAGGGAAAGCATAGTTTGTTTGGCATCTATTTACCAAATGCATTCATTAGAATTAGAGGATAAAAAAATTTTGAAAGGCCAGTCCATCTCTGTGAGTGGATGCTGAACGGCCTTACAAGCTATCCCCTTTCAGTGGTTTCTTTTAGCAAGTTCTAAGGCTCTGTCATCTGCTTTGAGTGCCTAACACAGAAAATTGGAACAAACTGAATTGCCTCAAAGTGGAAGGCTTACTGAAGAAAGACCAGAAACAAATAAGTTGGCATATGAGCTATTAGTGTAACAAAAGCAGCAGCAGTGAAGGAAATGATGGTTCATAGCTCACTGTAAATATAAAAGAGCCACTTAACATGGCTCCAGGCACAGAAGTGCAGCAGTTTAGCTGTAATTCCAAGTAACCATAGGGCTTAGCTGGGACAAAACAAACCACCAGAGAAGTGGGAGGACTTTTCAGGTATGCATGGATGTGGCTCCAATTATAAATCAGTGGGCAAGCATCCACTTAAATCAGAAGAAAATGCCTGTGGGATATGTTTTTACTCTTTCAGTGCGGCTGGGGACATACGGGCACAGGGCTGTGAAGAGAACATGAAGGCTTGTGGTGTGCTTAGGCTGGTGGTCGCACTGGGCCCTGGGAACAGATTAGCTACTGTACTAATACACCTGTAAATAGTTCCTATTTCCTGGCCAGGGCACAGGTGCAGGCTTCAGTTGCACCTCACAGCGTGTCCTTTTCTTAAATGATTTTGTGTTTATCTAGCACCTCCCCCCTTCAGTTTATGAGACTCCTTAAAACAGTGCAAGATTGTTTCTGATTTTCAGTTTTTGAAGAATATATACATATATATATTGCTGGGGAAGCTGTGGGAGAAAAGCCCACTTCAGTCATGCTATAAGCATATTCGGCTTTTTCCCAAAAGGTCACATTTCTGAAAGTTCAGTCTAAAGCCTTAGTTCTCAACACTGGATCTTCCTTTGCAAAGCTGAGCAAGTCAGCCCAGCCTTTCCAGTCTCCCTCTGATGAGGCACTCCAGTCACACCTCACACAGCTACCAGAGTTGCCTCTGATCCCCCCTACAGCTCCGCAAGAATTGTTACTTATTTCTATTCTGCACTCAGTCTCCACGGTTCATTGGTAGACGCCAAAGCCTCATTGAAGATGCCAGGAAGGAACGAGAGGCTGCAGCTGCAGCCACTGATGCTGCAGAGGCCACAGAGACAATTGTTTTTGAGGAGAAGGATGGGAGAGCCATGCTGAACCTGTTCTTCATGCTCAAGGGTGCCAAGACCTCTCCACTCTCACGAGCACTCAAGGTGTTTGAGGTGAGTCTCTAACCTGCTTCATTGGACTCAAGGAACATTATGCTTCTCATGGTGGTTTGAAGAGAAATATCCCTTGAATCTACCAAGGAAGATTCAAACTAGTTCTGACTACTGCAAGTTAAGAGTTAACTGTCCGCATGATCTCCCCACAGTCATGCTCTAACATGCCCACACTAGGAATGTGCTTTTATACCACTCTGGGCTTGACTTTGCTTAATTACTTAAGTCAGGCACACAATTTCACACCCACAATACACACCCATATTATTTGTAGCATACTCTGACAGCACCCTCTACTGCTCAGCACTATGTGCACTGGGCTCTGATCAAACATTCAAAACACACCATGTGCCCTACATGGCTACAGAACAAATTCCCTTTCCACAGTACTGATCAGTTACTGGGTCAAGACTTTGATAATCTAAGAATTGAGTGTTAAAGGTTGTGTTGATTCCTCCACAGAAGTGCATCCTATAAATAGCTTTAAAACTGATGAAAACTTATATCTGATTGCACTTTCGTCCTCTAGCCAGCAATATAATCTTCTATTATCTAGGATCTCTGTACCATGAATGGAAAGATTGTGATAAGTACTGGCTATTTAAACACTAATCAAAACATGACAACTTGTATTTATGTAGCTCATTCTCATCCAGAAGGATTCAAAAGTGTTTTGCAAACTGGGGATCTGTGCTATGTTTTATCTATAGTAGTTTAATCTCATTAACTTCAGCAGCGAGAGGACAATTTGTTCCTATTCATCAGTCACCTGGATTATAAGGGACCTACACAGGTTTCTAGTCCAACTTTCTGCTCATAGCAGGTCTAGTTGCAGTGTGTTACTCACAGCCATGTTTGTTAAGTAGAGATTCTACAGTCTCCTTTGACTGTTTGTGTAATGTTTTACTGCCTTCACGGTAAAAAAAAAAAAGTTTGTTTGTTTGTTTTTTAATGTTCTCACTTCCAGTTTGTATCCATTGCCTCTTCTCCTACTGCTGTGCACTTTTTAGATGAGCTTGGCTCTGTCTTTACACCTTCCCACCAGGTACCAGGTTAAAGCAATCTGATTTCCCCTGTACCTTCACCTCTTAAAGCTGAGCAAATCCAGTTCCTTCTTTCTTTCCTCATATAACATGCTCCAGCCACCTGTTCACCTTGCCAGCCATCCACTGTACCTACTACAGTATATCAATATTTATCTTCTACGGGACACAGCACACCACGTGTGGTCTTCTTCAACACAGATAGAGAGGAGGAATCACATTCCTTGACCTGTTGTCTACAGGCTTGTAACTACTAGTTAGTAGTTGCTTGCTCATATATTAATATTCTCTATTACTACACAAGACTTTCTTCCCTACAAAATTCAAGCCCTTGTGGGGTAAACCAGATTATCAGCAACACTACATCACAAAACTGCTACCTAACAGCCATAAACATTAAAAAAAAACAAACAAGCAAGCAAGCAAACAAACAAAAAAACTGTTTTGGGGGGGATAAGTATTTTCCTGAAATTAGAGAGCATTATAGCTACAGCCCATGCAGCACCATGTCTGATAATCTTCTGAAAGGTGTTTCAGATTTTTAACACTTAAAAAAGATCTTGCATTTTCTCTAGAAGGATGATTGTAAGAAAAACTGTTTTCTGGGCAACATTTTGTTCTTATTTCAAAAGAATCCCTCAAACACATGTGTCAAGCAGAAGTGTAATACTTTTCTACCATTTTATGTCACCATGATTGCGTCTCCTTCCTAAGAGAAGCACAATGCTGCCAGGAAAGTAAAATAAATAAATAAATAAAAACCCATCAGTGTAACATTTCAAATGCAACACACTGCTTAGCAGGTATGAAGCATGGAGGTGTAGGCTCTTGTACTTGGCGGACTGCACGTTACAGTGCATTTTAAGTCTATAATTTAAATAGCTTTTAAACATCAAGGAAGAGACGGGCAGCTTACATCCAAATATTATTTGTTTCTTTCTGGAGAAGATTACTTGCAGCATCAAGATCTGCTTTGGGAAAAAAAAAAAAAAAAAAAAAAAAAAAAAAAAAAAAGCTCTTCAATCTTGTCACAGAGAGAGCTTTAAAGATAATAAAAAGACAAACATGTCAAGCCACAACAGAGAGAGATTCATTTCCCAGATCCCTCTGGCAATGCAGGTACAAGATATGAAAGCAGACGGGCATAATGACATTTTCTTCATCATAAACCAGGCTGCAGGGAAGCTGGTTTCGCTCTGCTGTATGTGTTACATGCAGTCAAAGCATAGGTAATGCAATCACAGCTGTCAGATTAATGCAAAGGTATTGATTGTTGAGTGGACAATGTAATATTGAAGTTGGTAGGTACATTCAAAAACACAGTCCTAAATTTAATTTACCTGTGGCATCACATCTGCTCCTTCTCATCTGCCTCTGATTAACAAAAGAAATAATGCTCTTTCTTCTACCAAAGATATCTCAGAGACATTGGAAAGGTTGTGTCATTGTCCATGGACTTGTGCTTGTACTCTAGATTTTCACAGAGATAAAGAAACCATCCAAAATTCTACCAAGACCTTTTGGAAGACTGTAGACTCTGTTCTGTCTCCTCCTTATTTTTATGTGAATTCAGTTCCAATGATGAGCCCCAAGTAAGTACTAGAGTCTGAGCAGAATTTAGCAACCTGCTTGATGTAGAAAGAACAAATGTTCCTCTTAAACCTCTTCCTCTACTCCTCAAGAACCCTCACAAAACAAGCAAAACAAACAAACAAAAAAAAATTGAGGAAAATGATGGGGTGCAAGTCTTATAGGAGTATTTATGTCAGTCACTGTTGACAAGAATGAGGTTAGACTCTTCAAATCACATTAAGTAGCAATAAGGTGGCTGTTAAATCACTGTCACAAATCCCTCAGGAGGGCTATCAAACATGAAATGCGGATGAGATCCTGTTTCTCAGACGAAAAACTAGACAACCCACCTATTCACATTTTTTCAGTGGCTGGCTTAAAAACAAATTAAAACGTCTACAGATTTCTTTCAGCTGTAAATCAGCAACTAAACGATCACTTCAAATTTTATGCTCAAGTGTGGGTGTATTCGTCCATAACTGGGCGCGTAGTGGGTGAGTTAAACCTCTTTTTCTACGGGTATCAAACTCTTGCGATGGCAGGCAAGGGGGACCTCGCGCCCGGAGACGGCGGTTCCGCACGTTCAGCACCACGGCCAGCACCACCCTCCGACTCTCGGGCTGCTCCTTACTCCCCTACATCATCTCCAAAAATCGACTAATTAAAGGAAAAAGGGGACCATAGGAAGTTGCTTTCCACCCTACCCATTTCCCCTCTCAGAAGCAAAACCTGGATAACGGATAAGCAAGTTTACTCCAGTCAAAATAATTCTTAACACAGCAACAGGGACCTCCCCACAGACGTACACATATGGACATCTTTGGAAAGAATCGGTAGTTTTTTCAAGTGTTACAGACTTGTTTAATGCTTTTGTTCTTCTTTCCCATGTTCTACAAGACATTTGAAGCTAAAATCCACCACTTGGAGACAAGACTCAGCCGAAAGCCCCGTGAAGGAACTGCTGAATTGGAGTATTTTGTGCGCTGTGAGGTGCACAGCTCTGACCTCAATACTTTCATTAGCTCCATCAAGAGGGTAGCAGAAGATGTGAGGACCACTAAGGAAGACAAATGTAAGAAAAATATAAGATAGTCGATTTGTGTGTGTGTGGTGTGGTTGAGTCAGAAACAGGGCAAAGATTTCAATATTCTCAGAAAAGAAGTGATACTGCCTAATGAATATGAACGAGAGAAGACTGCCTCAGGATAACCTCCTTGCACACTTCTCCACAAAGTCTCACATTCATCCTTTGCTTCCACAGACAACTTCTCTCCTCTTTCCCCACAGTTCACTGGTTTCCCAGAAAAATATGTGAATTGGACAAGTGCCACCATTTGGTCACCAAGTTTGACCCTGACTTGGACTTGGATCACCCGGTGAGTGTATGGGTACATATCTGCATTTGAGTCCTGAGCCAGCTCTCAGCAATAAGGAGCTAGAGAACAGCTACTCATGCAGCTGGTCAGGGAGTCGTACTGGAACCACCAGTTGGTCCAGTCAGCAATGGACTTTATCAGGTTAGAAATTTAGTAACTGATTAAAAGCATTGTGTTTATGTTTCTATTTTTCATCCTAGGGCTACTCTGATCAGGTATATCGCCAAAGAAGGAAATCAATAGCAGAAATTGCTTTTCACTATAAGCAGTAAGTATCATCCCTCACATTCATGCAGGAATAATACCATGTCAAAACAGCCTATTGAGAAGTAATTAATGCTACTTGCATGACACCTCTTTTGCGTTTTCTCCCATTTAGCCTTGCCACCTCCTTTTGTGTGCTTCTTCTCTCCACGCATTCCAGTTCCTTCCTAATTTAAAAATGTCTGTGGTCATTTATTCATATATTGATACAGTCAAAATAAACTCGCTGCATAACAAAAGCTGTGTATAATTCCACCAGATCTCCAACTTAGCTATGAACTGTTGCAACTCTTTTAGAATGACATCTAGTCTCAGCTTCAAAGTTTCATATACTGAAAAAAATCATCATATGTCCGGAAAACTTATTCCAGTGGTTCATTATACTGATTGAAAAGGATGTTTAATTTCAAAACAGAACATCAGTAGATTTAGCTTTTGCCCAGTGGATCATACACATCTTTCATAGAGTTCTATCACTTTTTTCCACCTCATTATGGTATTTATAAACTCCTAACTCTTTCTGATAAATTAAATAGATTCCAGTTATGGTCTCATAATTGTCTTTTATAGAATTAAGACTATCTCTTGCACTGCTACTTAATACTCTCATTCTGATGTAAGTAGCGATAGCACTAAATCTCTTCACGACATCAATCAGAGCTCCAGTGTTCAGCTGGGTTGGTAAAACACTCCCTAGATCCTATTCAGTAACACTGCCTTTCACCACAGTGCCTCTTTTAGCAGCACTTAAATGTAGATTCCTTTAGTGAGCCATGCTGAAGGCAAGCTATGGATATTACCTGGATCACCTTCTTGAGCCATCTGCACACTTGATGTGATCCAACCATAGCTTACTGACTGCTCTGTTAAATTACATGTTTGATGCACATTCAAAGCTTGGAATGTATACAATGCTAGTTTTTTGTCTTGTACTGATATTAAATGCATAGGAAGTAACTGCTCCAGCAAGATAGCCCCAAGGGACTGAGTATAAATACTAAGATGATGCACCCATTTAGGATGCCTTTTCTTGCCTCTCAGGTTAGCTTTTATAGGCTGCTGTGTAACATCCCTTCAGGCTCTTAATGGAACAGGAACTATGCTTTATCACTGTAATATATGAATGTCTCATTTGTTCAAAAATACAGAACAGAAAGATTTAGGGAATAGAATTATGATGCAGAAAAGGCAAGAGCACCAGCCTTCTTTATTTCCCACCTATAATAAAGAACGTCTTTTCTTGCTGTCCTTAGTCTCATGAACAATATATATTTTTTTCCCCTGCAGTTCAAATGTGTTTAGTTGTCTTTATTATCTACTTTTATTTCCCAGCCACTGATTCATTCTAATAATCACCAGCTCCCTGCAGCTTAGGCACATGAAATTAATTTATTCTTACAAAAAGCTTCCCATTTTTTTCAGTGAAAACCATATTGACTGGAAATACTAAGCCTGCTAAGCTTCTATTCATCCTTTGAGTATTTATAACTTCCAGTGAGATTTATGCTTTTCTGCCTCCATTACTGCACCTGTGCAAATGACTTAGTATCAAAAGTTTGTCTTTCCTGTCACCTTGTTTGTTTTAAATAAGTTTGATCACCATCATACAGAGCTTCTCCAAAGGGCTTCCTTCTCAACGGGGAGAGGAGCTTGGCTTGTGCTTTTCTACTGTCAGTAACAGTGCATTTGCCTTGCAGTGGAGACCCAATCCCTCATGTGGAGTACACAGCAGAGGAGACTGCTACTTGGTGAGCGCTGATATAATCCATAATTCATGACTTCAGCATTAGAAACTGGGAATCAAAACCTGGATTGTTGTAGTGATTTGCAAAAAGACCCCTAAGAGCTTCCTCCAAGAGAGCTTCCCCAGAGAGAAAGTTATATCAGTCAGGGGCTACCAGTGAGAACTCTGACTCTTAAATAAGGCCACATTTTGTTTATATTGACTGTCTAGTACAGCTCCCGGAACTGACGTACAGGAAATATTTTAATTTCAGTTAATGCCTTTAATACCATCTTCTGACTTTGAAGGTCAGTGTAGATATGACTGATGCTTCATGCTCCTCCAAATATGTACATTTGTGTGCCCCTATAAACATGCAAAGAGGCAGACTTAGTTCTGCAGAAAGCACAGAACAAGAAATCTAGAAGCATGAGAACCTGGCAGCATGTGTCTGGAGGAAAAAGTGGCCAAATCATTCACTGTGTCACCTCTTGTCCTGAAGGAAGGAGGTATACAGCACTCTGAAGAGCCTGTATCCAACCCATGCCTGCAAGGAGTACCTAGAAGCTTTTAATCTACTGGAGAAATTCTGTGGCTACAGTGAGAACAACATCCCCCAGCTGGAGGAGGTCTCCCGCTTCCTGAAAGGTGAGTACAAGCTCCAGATGGAGCAGAGAAAAGCCCAGGGGACCTGGATCTGGGGCTGCCAAGGCTCCAGCACAGAAGTGGCAGCTGCAATGAGAAAATCTAAATATGGAGGATGAGAGGTGGTTGAAACCACAACTAAACAGGGTTAGTACTACTGAAAGTCAAGACCATCATCAACCCACTGAACAACTAATGAACTCCCTAGTAGAAGCAGGAACATTGGTTTTGGCAGTGAAGGAGCTGTTTATCTTCCAGCACTGAATATTTTTCTTTAGATGCTGGAACCATAGGACAACAGCTCAGCCTGTGATCTGCCCCCTCACACAAAGCCTTGTGCTCTGTTTCAGAGAGGACTGGCTTTCAGCTCCGGCCTGTGGCCGGTCTGTTGTCTGCACGTGACTTCCTTGCCAGCCTGGCCTTCCGTGTGTTCCAGTGCACACAGTATATCCGCCACGCGTCTTCACCCATGCACTCCCCTGAGCCGTGAGTACTGCTGGTCCTGGCAGCCAGCAAGGAACATTTGACTTTTTCCCTAATGGGCAAGCTATCTGCTGCTGACTGCATTTTCCTCCTTCCCCTGGGCAATGGCAGGGACTGCTGTCATGAGCTACTGGGGCACGTCCCAATGCTGGCTGACAAGACGTTTGCCCAGTTCTCCCAGGTAAGGTAGTTTTCTGCTGCTTCTCCCCAAGAGCATAAGGGAGTAGGTGAGAACCCAAACGGGCCTGATTGTCACACTCCTGGCAAGGATGCTGCCTGGAGGTGATCTTCTCCTCTCCACCCTTCTTTTGGGTTTTCATTACACCACATCAGTAGTTGAGCATCGCTTTGCTGAAAGGGGTTTCTACAGGACATGACAACATGCTCTAAATCAATTGCAATAGCACATCCAGCACTTATTTGTGGTGAAGATATCTGCTAGGGACAGATTTTACAATATATAAGCACACCTGGGTTTCATACTTGTTCCTTCAACGTGTGACATGACTGCCTCAGCTCCAAACTTGGCTGATGCCTGTTTGCTTTTGGCCTTGCCTCTTCTTACCAGTCTTACACCCTTCTTCTAGGCTATAAATTGAAGAATACTTAGCAGCCTTTTAATCTGAGTGCAACTAAGCAATGAAAAAGACTTGGCAGCTCAGGTAGACTATATCTGTTGTTTCCAGGCAATAGCAACAGAGCAATCTGAGTGTAAGGGCCTTGCTAATTGTCTTTCAGTAGTCATCAAGAAAGAGGTGGGTTTAAGGAAAAGGTGATCATGAGTAGTTTGGTGGTGATGAAGGAAGGGAGACCCCAAGAATGGGGAGAACATGGGAGTACCAGTCTGGAGGTGCAGTGGGGCAGCTGGAGAATGACCACAGCAGGAGCCACCAGGCAGGGGATGTGGGCAGCAGGGAAAGGGAAAGAAGAGATCAAGAAAGGATGTGCAAAATAAACATTTCAAACAAGTTGCTCCAATAGAAACACTGGCTAATGTAAATTCCCTGACACCAGCTACAGAGCAGGTTATAGGACAGACGAATTCCCAAAGCAACATCTTCATATTTCCTTTCTCTCACTATCCACAACAAAAGATGCACTATGAGTTTTCAGAAATACTAACTGGATGCTTGTACTGTGTAAGAACTGAATAACTGACCAAGCCCCTCCATGCTTAAATGGATCTTGCTGCAAATCTATCCTGACATCGCTCTTATATTCCCAGGACATTGGACTTGCATCTCTGGGAGCAACTGATGAAGAAATTGAGAAACTGGCTACAGTAAGTTTTTCTGTCAGCACCAGATGAACCCCAGTTCCTCCACTAGAACGTTTGTGATGCTAGAGGCGCAGCCTGGTACCCCTGCATTTGCATATTTAGTGTCCCCAAACAAGCTGCCCCCAGATGATCATGCAGAACAGAGATCAGATGAACAGCAGAGCTCACTTGCACATTAACCCAATTTTCAGAGGCACCAGAGTATCAACGAGCATCATATTTCTAACAGCACTGCTGGGATTCTTTGGTACAGGATTAAATTACATTCACTTCCTCTGGCTCTACCTCAGCAAGGTGACTGGCCTGCCACAAGGGCACCCAATGATGGCACCATGCAGTGGCTAGTGGCACAGTTTGATCTGGCATGGCAGAGGTTTAGTTTAACACTGTGCTCTGGCAGGGCTGGCTTCAGGGTAAGAAGGCAGAGGATTATCCTTCATGCAATTTGGTGGCCATGCCAGGCACACATTCATTCAAATATCTCCAAACCCTCACCACAGTGCATGGACAAGGAAATGGAGTTGTGTCCACCATTTGTTTTTCTTTTCTTTTTACAGCTTTACTGGTTTACAGTGGAGTTTGGACTCTGCAGACAGAATGGGATAGTCAAAGCCTATGGGGCAGGGCTCCTGTCTTCCTATGGGGAGCTCATAGTAAGTCCCAGCACAAATTACCACTGTGCTCCAGACTCTTTACTACAAAACCCTTCTTCCTCTGAGCAGCTGCAATGCCTTTTGCTGATCTATTCTCCATTTCTGGCATGTTTTCTCTGGGTTCTTTGATTTCACACTTAATTTTTTTCCACTGTGTCCATAGCACTCCTTGTCAGATGAACCAGAGGTACGGGACTTTGATCCTGATGCTGCTGCCGTTCAGCCCTACCAGGACCAGAACTACCAGCCTGTGTATTTTGTGTCTGAGAGCTTCAGTGATGCCAAAACCAAGCTGAGGTAGGACTGGGCACTGAGGGAGACCCAAACAAAGGAACATAAAGCTATATTATTTCAAAACAGGGCTTAGCACCATAGCTGCTTCCAGTATATAATCTCAGAAGAGATCTAGAAAAGAGTTCAGTTAGGTCGTTCAAAAATTCAGGCCTAAATAAACACTACTCCATGTAAAAACTGGGTGAAAGTAATTTATCAGTTCCTACAGGCCCCAGCTTCTCTCTGATTGGGACACTAACTATCCAGCAAAAGGGGGGCTGGAGGGTTTGGAACAGAGAGACAAGCACTCATTGAGGCAAGGCTGAGGGAGTTAAAGAAGGGACAAATCTAGCACAACTCCCTAATTCTCATAAGGAGATAAAAATCATCTCCAGCTCCCAGGAGAGGTTGGGCAACATAGTAGAGAGTTGGTGGGAAGTCCAGAAGACAGAGGCTCAGAGCACTCATCACAACTTCCTCTGCTTCCTTGCCACAGAACAGCCAGGTCAACACCATCCAACCAACACACCAGTCTCCCACCAGCACGTGTCCCTCTGGAACACATCAGCTGTGTTTTATAAAAGATTCAAGAGAGATGCAAAGAACTGCTCAAAATGTTTTTGATCTCTGAATTCAGGAGGCAGAAAAAATGTTTGTCTTTAAGAGTAAAAGCTGGGCAACTTACGCATCTATCTTTCAACCAGAAAAAATCCCAGCCATTATTAGTAGCTTGGACACAAGGACAAACAATTGCATGACATGGATCTATTGGAAAAAGGGAGTTTTTCTTTCTGTAGTGTTGTTAACAGACCCCTTGCATTATCTCACTAGCATAAACTTGGTTTCCACATCACATGCAACTGCAAACAGGTTCAGACTGTAGGGGTAGCTCTGTGCACAGAAGTAAGTTCAGAATAACATCTTGGCCATAGTCAGAGTGATTTACAGGAGGAAAACTCAGTCCTACCACATTTAGTTGTAAGAAACTACTGTGTATATCATTTTGTCTTGGCATAGAGAGGGTGTATGTTGAGACAAAGCATCACATAGCCTACATGACTTTGCAGATCCCACAAATGAGATATTTCACACAAATAACCTGGCAAGTTTTGTCATATTTCAACTTCTGCTTTTACGCCACTCACTTGCACTACTCATATAACCCAGAGTCCAAATGCTCAAAAGCAAGCAGCTAGGAAACCCTTCCTCTCACACACAGTCTGCTTTAAAAAAAAAAAAAAGCACCCAGCTGTTGGCTCATGGGTCATTTCCTTGCATTTAAAAGGGGGAAAATACACTACTTATTCAAACTTAGGCTCTACTTATTCAAACTTAGGCTAGAAAATGTTGACAGTGGCAGGCGCTTTAAAAAAAAACCCAGCTTGCAGCTTTGGCTATGTGACCCCTGGTCTTCTCTGTAGCCAGTGATGGTTTTTCCCCCAAATCCTGGTAATCAGACTTCCTACAGCACACAGAATCAGCCCAGGGCACATTAGAGGAAGCGATGCACTTCCCGTCTGTGCAGACCTATGACAGCCACAAGAGGGTACCCTAAGCTAAGCAATTCAGGAGCAGAAGGGTGAAGCTTTAGCAATGAGCGTGCTTGCCCCAGTGCTTGTTTCTCCCTTCATCATCACAGGTCTTTTCAGTCTGAGATTTTAGCTGTAAGTACACAAACGTAGATTCCCAACTCAATATTCAGAGTCAAAAAAGAAAAACCTACAAACCTTGTCAAGTGCACAGACGTAAGCCTTGGAGCTGAATATGAGAAACCTTCCTCTTGCTGTGTTCAGCACGACCTCCTTGAACACTTGGCCATGTAAACCTGGTAACAAAGTCTTGCTCTTGAGATGTGCCAGAAGTAGTCAGTGTTGTCACTCAGGTTCAGGCTTCAGTTGGCCCTGGGTGTGAAATGGTATAGCATTACTTGGCTCATCCTGGTGATGCTATTCCCACCCCTGCGCGCAGGTCTGACCTGCTGCCTCAGTCCTAAACTAACATGGCCTGCAGCTAGTCAACTCCTCCCCAAGCAGAGATTAGTAAACAAGTGAATGACAGAAAGGATTTAGGAATGCAATACTACAATGCCAGAGGTTTTCCCTGCAATTAGTGTCTAAATCTCCTTGGTATTTTCGAAAGAAAAAGAAAAGCAATTAAAGTAGAAAGTGTCTGGAGATAGCCATAGGGTGACAAGTTCAGAGTACTCTCCTGTTTGGTGCAAGCCCATGTTTTCAGCCCCAAGAAGCTTGCTGTCAAACTCAATGTCCTCCTTGCTGAATGGAGTGATCTCAGTCACCTCTACAGCCCTGTGAAGATGGGAAACCAAATCTTCTGCGTTAAGTTGGATGTTCTGTCTAAGAGAGACATTTGCCTGTTGTGATCTGGGTGAACAGTGATGGGGAGGAGGAGGGCAGGAGCTGTGCTCAGGACCTGTTTCTTGTACCAAGACTTTGTACCCTTCCCTTACAGGAACTATGCGGCACATATCAAGCGGCCCTTCTCAGTGAAATACGAGCCCTACACCCACAGCATCGAGCTCCTGGACAGCCCCCAGACCATCTGCCACTCCCTGGAGAGTGTAAGGGACGAGCTTCATTCGCTGATTAACGCGCTCAATGTGATCAGTTAATAAGAGAACTGAGCTCTTCCATTCCCCTCTGCCCTCCCATGTTCCTAGTCCATAACTTTTAACTGTTGCCTCCAAACATTTGCACTGCTGCCCATCCTCATGCTACCCCAATTTGCCACATTGGAGTGTAGGGCCAGCTCAGAGGAAGGCAGAGGGACAAACCCAAGGCCTGGTGGCATCTTGGGTGACTTTGCTTTTGACTACTGGGAGAGCTTTAGCACTGTCCAAAGACACAGGTCAGGCTACAAAGTTGAAGTTAAGAGTTTTATACTAGGTGTCTAAATGCAAAGAAGGGAGAAAAGCTGTTTTACCAAAAGCCAGTTTCATTAAAAGGAAAAGAACAAGAAGAAAGTAAATGCTATTTTTTTGCAGTTTGAGAGAATGAGGTAGTCTGCCTTTTTAACTCCAAAACCAGTCCCTACAGCAATTCCACAGAGGACACCCTGTCTCCACCACCTCAAGCCTGTTACAGCCCCTTGCACTTAGGAAATTCAGAGCTGCATGGGAGCACTTCTGCTGGAACCAAGATCATGACATTTAAGATCCCAGCTTACAGCCTCCCCTCAGCTTCTTGATAACAAGCCCCTGCTCTCACAGCCCCACGAGGACGAAAGTAGCATTAGAGCATCCTTGAAGCTCTATACTGATCTAAGCCAGAAGTATCTGCCTAGCATAGAGGAGCCCCAACCTACCTGTACCCTCATCTCAAGCACCACAAAACAATCCCAAACCAATAAGCAGAGCCTCCAAACCCTCTTTTAAAAGCTCCCACACCTGAGACTTCAGCAGCCCCTTTTGTCATCTGCAGCTTCAATTGACTCCTAATGCCTCCCACTTCTCACCTTCCTAGCCCCACCTGTGTTGCAGTTTCCCTGATGGGAGTTCATCAAGGGAGGGACACAGATCACAACCAGCTGTGCTGTTGGTGCTCAGTAACTCAGCTACTGCCTCTCACAGCAGATAGCAGCCACAGCTGTTGATGCTCATGTGTGCTGGTGGCCTTGGACAGCCTTGGTGCTTGAGTTTATCGGTTCTGGCACTCAAATCCCATGGCAGAATTTCACACGCTTTCAATCCTCCAGCACTGCACAAATACAGCATCACCTTGTTTTTACATAGCCTAATATCACTGTCACCTGATGTAGCTCAGATGCATGATTAATGCTATTGCTATTCACTTCTGAGGAAAGTAGCCTACAATTAAGATGCTCAAGTCCAGTTTCATCTAGCTTTCGCTGTTGATACAAATCACTTGCTCTGGCTCAAAGCTCTCAGTTTTCCTCCCCCTGTTTCTGCCCTTCTTATCTTCTTGCCAGCTGTCTCACAACTGAGTAGTTTGCTTAGAAGTGTGGCCCAAGGTTATGCAGCTGGGCAGTATCAGAGCTGGGCTTGGGATGCACAGAGGCAGCACAACAGTTAGGGGGACAGCAAATTGGGGAAGTATGAGTAGTTGTTTGCATCATCAATAGTAATGTTTCTGTAAAGACTTATATGGATTTTTATCATTTATTCCTGAAATATTAATTTCTGCTATTGAGCAGGTATCCTCCACTACTTACAAATGCCATCACCCTTCAACGTTACCTCTACTGTCACTCAGTCATAACAGCTTAGAATTCCATGCATATTTCCCATTTCAGATCTCTGTTTAGGTATATTTAACCCTCAATTCTCTCAAATTGTAACTGGCTTGATGTTGACAGCGCAGTAAGTCTCCCATTCGCTTCAAGAATCCTTTCTGCTTTCTCTCTTATTTGACCCCCTCCTAAATTCCTCCTCACTCAGGCATTTGCTCAGAAGAGCATTACAGAAATCAGCAGTTCAGCACGAGGTCTGGCTGCTTCTCCTCCAATTGGTCCTCCTTGGAGAATTGTCCCGTAAATGAACAAAACTACCTATTTCATTCAGCTGTTGTAATTTTAGAACATTTTTCCAAAGCTTCAGCTATGATTTCCCAATCTGGGTGGATCCAGATCTTTGAGCTGCAACTCTCAAGGTTCCCTTAAGAGCCGTAACAATTTTTTATTTGGGATCTTAAGTTATTACTACCGCATTAAGCAGCTGCAGCAAGGTAATCGAGGCTAAAGCAGGCTAGGTCACAGGTTAGCTCTATCACTATGAAAAGGACACTGGTTTGGCCTCAAAGCCCATAAAGGTTGCCTTGGATTCTCCAAGGCACTTCACAGCCATTTTCTGCCTTGTTAAATGTCTATAATTAATGCAACTTATAAAAAGAACAAAGCTGTTAATATGGAGTGAGGAGCCAAGTTAAAAATTCTTGCAAACTGCCGGAGACCTCAACTCCTCCGCTTTGCCTCGGAGTTTGCATCGCTGCACCATGACTCTCTCAGCTGCTGCTTGCTCGTGGGGCTGTAGTAAAATCTGTTGCCCTACAAAAATAGAAAATAAGCAAAGCTCGAGGCATAAACCAGCACTGCTCGTATGCAAGCACATAAACAGATCTGCTGCAGCCGCTCACGCCAGCATGAGTGAGTGGCAGTCCCTTACTCCCGAAGTGGGACAGGCTCACTGAGCAGGCTGGGTGCTGAATGCTTGTTCCTTTCTATCCAATTTCTGATATATTATTTGGCCCCCTACTTCACTTTTGCATCGTATCATCACAGAATGGCTTAGATTGGAAGGGTCCTTAAAGCCCACCCAGTTCCAATCCCGTGCCGTGGGCAGGGTTGCCAAATACTAGATCAGGCTGCTCAGGGCCCCATCCAGCCTGGCTTTGAGCACCTCCAGGGATGAGGCATCCATAGCCTCTCTGGGCAGCTGTGCCAGTGCCTCACTGTCCTTTGAGTAAATTGCACACTTCTATGCCATTTTTATAGGCTTCACTTGAGGCCAAATATAAATTCCTTGCACTCTTTTTATAGTACCTTGTTCTCTCTCTCTCTCTCTTTTTCTTTTTTTTTTTGGTAATGTTATAACAGTCTGAGATGATTTGGTCTCATTCAGCCAGGCACAGTATCCATCCCTTCTTTTCTTTTAGTTGATTCCTGGCTGGGGCTGCTGTAAATAAACTCAGAGTCAATTTATATACTTACTCACTAAATTGTTTCTAAGCATTGCGTTCAGCCTTCTTACGTGCTTTAGCTTCCTTCACATATATTTTATTCCCACTCTCCCTCTAGGCATGTAAAATAAACATCCAGTTTTCTTTCTGGGTGTCCCACTATCTGCTTACCATCACCCTTCTCACTATATGACAACCAGTATTTTACTGTAGTATCAACAAGGTAGCTATCTGTAAAGAGATACTGGATTTATGTCTTCTACTGCTTTCTATGACAGCCTGTGCTTTTGCTCCTTGCCAACATCCTTTCTCTAGTTCCCTCATTCCACTAACAACACTATCCTCAATAATTTTTCCTCTCTGTACAAGCTTAGCTCTCCTTTGGACACACAGTACCTTTGGCTTATTGCTGGTTTCCTTTCAAAGAACATCCACATTTAAACCAATTTCTTCTCTTTGTGCTTAAGAGTAGAATATGAGTAGATCAGGGTGCAAACAAAGTATCAACGATGAAAGCTATGAGGAGCATCACAGACCAGACCTGGTTTGCTCATGGTCAGGGAAATTTTGGTCTGGCCCTTGGAGAAGGGGGAACACACACTCTATTGGTATCCGTTTTTCTTCACTATTTTTCTGTAACAGTACTGATCCCACAGAATGATCTCACGCTGAAATTCTTACTATCAGTGACTTTCCTTCAAAGGTATGTTCTGTTGTAGGAGCTTTTCAAGCAGCAACTTCTTTTGCTATAGGTAAATTGTCATTTCACTCCTTACTTTGCCTCCGTTCCTTTTTTCTTCTGTAATTGTCATAATGCTTTGATAGTAGTAGCAAAGTTACAGATACGGTGCCACAAGAGATCCAATCCTCCCAGCAGTCTCCAGAGCTCAGTCTGAGCAATGGGAGTCTTTTATTTCACAGAAATTTTAAGCTTCCTCACATCTATCTTGTTTTGCCAGTTCCAATTCCCCAGCAGTTAACCTGGGATTGCATTAAATGTGCCGTATTCAAATTGACTTTAAATCCCTCTTGATCTATTAATTTTAAAACTCAGATACCTCTTTCTTGTAACTCTTCTTCTGTGATCTCCAGAATATCATCTACACAATATCTTTTCTGTGTCCTCCAGAAATCAGCGTTCAAACACTTTCTGAACAAAAGTGTGTGCAGCAGGGCAGGTGCTTGGTCTTGTGGGATTCAAGTAAATATTGTTTGTCTCTTAATGTGAAAGCAGCTCTATACATCGGTCCTTCTCTTTTATTTTGCCACATGTGAATCATGGAGTGCATTTGTGCCACTAGTTCTCCTAATTTATCCCCTGTCCAAGGAGGCTGGCTGCACTGTGACTGTCAGGGGAGTGGAGACACCAGTGCTCTGCTGAGATTGGGTTGTGAACACATAGTCCTGCTGATATACGAGCAATTTTTTGTCAGTTCTTTAAAAGCTCCCCATATTCTCTAGCATAATGATTCATGTTGACACATCCTTCTCTTGCCTATCTGCTGTGGCAGTCTGTTCTGCTGTACCTGCCTGTCCCAGGACGGCAGTCATTTTTTGTTGTGGGATATGCTGCTATTCTTAACTTCTTTCTTTTCCCATTTGTTTGCATCATCCCTGAAATCATCTTCCTCAGATGGTTCCCAATCCAGTTCTCTCCATCACTTCCTGCAGATCCAGCAGTTATTTTTAATCTTTACATCCCAATCTGCTTTTGCAAGCATCTAATTTTAGCTTCACATTCACTATGATCAGGTCCCTTTTGCGCCCTCCCTTGCTCCAGAGAGGTTCACTGCACTATATACATTAATCCCTTATCTTTTGCAGTTTCTCTCTCTTTTTCTAAGCTCATCTGCTTCTCTAATTGCCATTGCATCTCCTTATTGCCTTCTTGGGCCACTAGATGGTATTCCTTTTCTAAAGACAACTTATTTTAAGTCACTTGATAGACTCTTTTAAAAGCACAATTTTAACACTGGAGCACTTGATATCCTGGCGTTGCCTCTTCTCAGCCAACTGAGATTATTGTTACTGCTTCTCATAACAGCCCCCTAACAGAGATGCTGTATACTTGAATCTCGATCCTTGCTCTCCCATATCGGGGAACATTTGGCTTGTATCACCCATCAGCTTCCTGTGGGCTGAAGCAACACCAGGAGAGGCACTAGCAGCCTGGGCTGTAATCTCTGGTATTGTTGGGATTTCCTGTAGCCCTCCACAATTTCCACTTTTAAGCTTTTCCTGAGTCTTGTCAGAATTTTCCCAAGCTTTCAATTTCATCTTAAGGTATCCCTTACATTTGGTTCATGAGGCTGGTTGGACTTAGAGTTGCTTTGTGAGCATAATGGAAGCTCTGAGGAATGTTGCTCCAAACAAAGGACTTTGGTCAACACCAATGTGTCCCTCAGTCACACTCTCCACCAAAAGATGCTACAACAAAGTTCTTTTTTCTGTCAGTGGAACAAAAGTGTAGGATGATGTGCTTCTCAGAGCTAAGTATGAGCTCACGTCCTTTGGGTTGGATTAGGGGTCATCACAAGTCTTATGAGGGAACTAGGATCGTTTAGCCTGGAGAAGAGGAGGCTTGGGAGAAACCTTATGGTTCTCTACAGCGACCTGAAAGGAGGTTGTGGCGAGGTGGGGGTCAGCCTCTTCTCCCAAGTAATAGAGATAAGACAAGAGGGAATGGCCTCAAGTAGCACAAAGGGAGGTTCAGATTGGGTGTTAGGAAACATTTCTTCTCAGAAAGGGTGGCAAGGCATAGCAAC